TTATTTTTTCTTATTAAACACAAATAATAAAAAATATGTTTTTAACATAGTCCAAAACTGTGAAAAATAATAAAAAACAAAAATTACGAAAATTATATGATGATAAAAAGTTCTTAAATTTGTCGAAATATCGTGGGCTGCCATATATGCACATATAGTTTTTTCTTTCACTGAAGTATTTCAGCTATAATTGTTGAAACTAAAACATGTTACTATGTTTAAAGTAAAATACATAATATGTATTTTATGACATTACACACTCATCATACAATACAAGATTTCAAAAGAACAAATTTTTGTACAATTTAAGGATTTTTTTTTCCTTATAAAATTTTTAAACAATGGTGAAAACAGCTAGGGTCGCTATGTAGCTAAAACATGCCTTATTTGAGACTACGGAACTAATCATTAAGTTAGCTATAAAAATTGAACAAATAAATTATCTTAATGAATAAAATTAGTTGACGACAATAAATATAAACGTATTAAATGTTTTATATATTTTTTTAAGTGAAAAGCATTAAAGTAACTTATTTTTATATAAAAATATCGATAAAATATTCGTTGTATGAAAAATATACAACGATATATAATAATAATACTTACATTAAAACGGTATACATTTATTTTAAGTATAAAATAATTTTTATAAATGACAATACGTCATGAATGTTAACGCATTCATTAATTGAACATTTTGAAATTGATACTAAAATTTTGTAAAACAAAGTTAAAGACGACAAGAAAATCATTAAAAATATAATAATAATGTCAAATATTTTATTTGTTATTATTAATGTTTTTTTCAGAACAGTAAAATCACTTGTAATTTCAGTAGTAATTCTATTATTATTATATTCTTAACGTGGTAATATTAATCAAAACAACAGTATTGTATATCCAGTTTAAAAATGTGATTTCTGGTTTGTATCATAAATGGCAGAGTTGATGCCAGGTTATGTAATTAAAAATTAGTAACTTGCTCAAAGTAGAAATCAGTTACTCCATAAATACTCAATTTCCATTGACTTTATAAAAACAAATCAAAATAATTGATTTAAGTCAGTAATAATGTATATTATTTTAGATTATTTATAATTTCTCATTTTATATTGGCAAATGACCTTTACATAAATTTAAAAATTAAGCAAAAGTTTATTTCATAAAACATAAAATTAAAACTCTGATAATATAAGTTTATACATTAATGAAGATACTCATACATATATGTAGAACGCTTCGATTTTAATTTATTAGCAGTGTAGTGTTAAAACTACTATAACAGTTTCATTGTTTTATCTTAGGATTAGGGTTGTTACACTATCGCATATGCTTTTATCGACATCAATGGTAAAGGTGATAATGAGTGTATCCCAACAAATTTGAATACCTATTGTCTCAAATGCTACGATGTAGTTATTTATAACAATTATATTTTCTGTCTCACTTCTACTTAAAAAAACTATAGCTATTATTTTGAATACTTTTATTCTCTAGAGTGTGATAAAATTTTATTTAAATAATTAATTAAAATATCTTAAAGTCTTGGACTTTTATATTTATACAATTTAACTTTAAATTTAGACAAATATTTATAGCAATTAATTATCATTATAGAAATTATTATATGTACAATGAAAATCTAAATCTTATGCCGGAGAGTAACAATAGTTATAATTTCATTAAAAATTTTGTATGTGATATTTGACTTATAACTTTCTACAAAATTGAAAATAGGACTCGCATTAATTAATAGGACAAGAAACGATTTTCAGAAAAAGAGGTCTTAACTTTTGGCTTTTAAGTTTTTGATAATATTATATATTTCAATATTATTTTTATTATAAATTTTCCACAGTTTAATAGCCAAACATATACCCATATATTATTTCCAATAATAAAATTATAAATGTTGAGAATTAATATCTAAAAAATGTAAAAAACTTTTTTGAAAAATATCTTCCGTTGTTTAAACTAAAAAATATAATTTTTCAGCTTCGACACGTAGCTTAGCTTAGAAGGTGTTAATTTTATTATGTGTTTTTCTCTGTTCACATAAATATTCCGCACCTACTGAACTACTATTTTTCAAAGATTCTTTAATAATCGAAACTGATACCTCATTTAGTTATTAGTGCTATAGTTTGAACAAATCTCTTTTAATTCCCTTAATAAATATAAGTCATCAAGAAATTACAATCGTTTTAAATTATAAATTTTTATATTTTCAATTATATTTTATATTTTAAATGCGATATGAGGACAGCTGATGTGAGCGTAGATGATATGGAATATCGTGTCAAGTGGAAGTTTAGGTTTAGGGTGACCGACCCCAAGTAGTTGGGATTAAGGCAAGGAAAAAGAAGAAGAAGATATTTTCAATTTAATCTTTCTATTGGTATAACTTTTTAAAAATTACACGGATCATGTTAACATTATTTTTACTTAATTTTTAAACAAATTCGTTACTCAAAATATACAAAATATAAAAATATAAAATCCAATCATCAACTTAAATGTAACGAGTTCAAACACATCAAATTAAAAAAAAATCAAATTTTAATCATTTTAAAAAAGGTTTGGTAAACGGGACGGAAGTAAATTTTCTTGATTAGAAAAAAGATAAATCTTATCGACTAAACAGAAGAAAAATATGAAAATAAAAAACAAATACAGACTACCAAATTTAAGCATAAACATGGGAAAATAAAATATGCTGATCAAAAAGTAGAAATTAATCTATTTAACTACTCAACACGTTTCTGTATATTCACTAAACATACAGATGACTTCAGTACTGAAAACACTGTTCAGTTATCACAGCTGAATTTCCACACTTTGTTCACTGGTTATTACCGCTTTTTTCTGGTCGTCCCTAATCTTTTAACAGCTGTAACTTTTTTAAAAACAAATAATACACACAAATTAAAAAAATACTCATTTTTCAGTTGATTTCATTTGTTGATATAAAAATAAAAATTTATATAGAAAAGTTATGGCCGTTTTAAGTAAAAAAATAAGTAGCAGTGGGGATGTGACATAATTAGTACTAGTTTAGATGATATCTGATAGTGATTAAAAACACTAGAATAAAAAGTACTTCGATACAAATCTGTAAATAGTATTTTATTTTAAGAAAAATTGTTAATAAGTATAACACATTGTTCATCACTATAAGACTAATTATGTAGGGGGCGGTAGGACTAGGTACCGTTATTAGTCTGTATATGTTTAGCGAGTATTATAATTAAGAATCACACTCGAAAAAAAAAATACGGTCAGCAATTTTTTTATTGTTAAATCAATCATATTTTATTACTAGATAAAATTTTTATTTGCGTGATAATTTGTTTATAGTACTAACAAAAAATTATTGTCGACTGTACAATAATAGTAAACTTGTTGAAAACGTACTCTTTTCTTCATCTTTTTCGTTTTCATCACAGAGAATCAAATATATATTTTTTTAAATAAAGCATATTGCATAAACTTTAATTAGAGATTTATATAAAAACGTGTCAGTCTTTCCGGAAGATTTTCTAAGGTTAAATTGCAAGAGTTAATTTTTCCTGAAAAATTAGTCAATTTAAATTACCTCTGAGGGTAAGTAAAGTGTCAGATTTTCAAAAAAATATACAAAATGTTAAAATTTAAGGTATCTAAAAAAAAAAAGTTTTTTCATCCATTTTTTCAAAAAATTATAGTAGTTTTATATAAAAATTGTCCAAAATTACTAATTTTTCAAATTGCAAGTTTTTGGAAAATTTTCCCCGTTCACAGGAAACGAGAGTAATTTTTACAATTTTTGAGAATAATGTCTTTGACTAGATACAATTTGCAATCTTTTGGCGTTTTATTCATAAAAATCGGTCCAATGAGAACTGAGAATAAGTGACAAGAGACACAACAAAAAATAATAGTAAAATTAATATCTTCTTAGCTTTGCATCAAAGCTAAAAATGTATATAATTTTTTTTTTTTTTCCATAATAGTTTTTAGTTAAATTTAATTTAAAATATTTAGCTTACGATTGTAACTTTGTAAATAAATAAGTTAACGCCTATTAAACTATAATACAATTAAGGATTTCATTGAAGCAGTGAAATAACTGGAATGATCCTTTATAAGACTTTATTGCATATTTTGGCAAGGAAAACTATTTTTTCCATTTTAGTGTAAAAATTTTATTTGTAGAAAATATTTTTTTCATCTGACGCAACGACATGAATTTGTTCGTCTATACAAATTTGTAAACGATTTTGTTATAATTTCGCATAAACCTGTACGGGAAATTTCGTTGCAAGCGTCTTGTCTGGTTGCTTCATAGACCTCTTCAGTGACAAATTAAATGCGTATTTTAAAAACCTTGAGAAAGTATGTATTTTGATACATCCATATAATACCAAGAATAATTTGTTCTATTCTCAATAATACTCTTACTAGCTTGAAAAAATGAATTGAAAATGGTTTGTGGGAGCTAAAATATTATTGATATAAAATTATTTCATAAACTCATATATTTTTACAGTAAAAAAAAGCAATAACTTAAATCAATTTTGTCTCATAAATAAGTTACATAAAAAATTATAATAGAATTATGCTCGAGATTAATATATATATATATATATATAATTTATAGTAAATAAATAAATACTCAATTATAGTTCAACTCATGAATAATATTTCTATATTTCCTATTAATTAAATCCTATTGTTAAAATATATAGTAAAGTATTCACAAAATGTTAAAATATTTGAAATTTTATGAATTATAGATATCAAAAAATTCTATTTATATAATTGTTTTTTTATTTAGGAGATTAAGAAATTCCTAAAATTGAATAAATTGTAAAATATTTTTTTTTTTTTGAAAGATTTTTTAACATTATTACACAATTAAGTTTTAATATAAGAATTAATTATTTTAACGTAATTCAAAAATGGAGCAAATTCTTCACATTTCAAAAATTAAATTATTAATATATTTTAATAATATTTACTTGTATCTTTTACACCAATATCATTACTTAGGCAGTGCAATGCGTAATTTTTCATAGGTCATATTGGCCCTTTAAACACTCAGCACTTAATAAATTATAAAAAAATATTTTATTTTTAATGTAATAAATGCAACTGCACATATAATTGTTTAAATAAAATACGTTTAAAGCTAATGAACTAATATAACATAAACATTTTTTATTGAATTCATTTATTACAGAAATATTGATAAATAACGTTTTTCGTAAAACACCAACACACACAACACGAATATACGTCACAAACGGTTAATGTCCCGGGTCCGCACTGACGTTGCTTTTGCAAACGCTCGCTGGAAAAGCCGCCAAAAGCCGGTCGAGCGCTAGTCGTAAATAATCGGCTAACTACGGTGCAATTGAAAATTCACAGCATGGAATTTGGATTCCAACAGTGTGCACAAAATAATGATTTTTACATATTATTCTAATACAACAAATTGTAAAAACTTAATAGAATCCGTGATAAATATAATATTCCATAATAATTATCCTGAAAATAGGACCTAATTATAAATTATTCATATGGGAAGAAGGAAAAAATTTGTACACGGGGAAAATTGGACAGCACATTTTTTTAAATAAGCTGTGTAAACTTAAGTGGCTAATTTCTTAAAATACAACAACCACCGATGCGTAATTGTTAAAAATATTATAGATTACTTCATAAAATTTAGTTTGGATTAAAAAATTTAAACGTACCAAATCATTTTCAAAAATCGATGCGGTAAAAAAATTGGTATGCGTATGTTGTTACATTAAAGCATTTCATATACTTGAGTTTTTAATTAGATTTTTAAAAAAGTAAATAAAAAATGTTTATTATTTCTTGTTGATATAAATTTCCAGGATTTTTAAAAATTAACAGTAATTTTTTAATGAAAAATAAATCATAATTGACTTTTTCGGTAACTAATTTTCAGGTATTAAAAGATACTGTTTGCATAAACTCTATATCATTGTACCTATTTGTATATTATTTCATTGACGTTTTATTATAGGCAATTAGCCCATTTGACACAAATAAATAAATGAAAATTAATATTTGAGTTAAAAAATTTGATCTTTTATTGTCACATGATCAAGGATACATTAGAACTCAATTTTATAATCATTAGATCGAATGAAGTCAGAGGTTTTGAGATATCCTCGTTTCGTACGCTCATGCCCTTGCAGATCACAACAGAGTTCTATTTTAAACAATAAAAATTAACTATGAAGTTTAAATTAATTATTGTATAAATTCAAAGCTATGAGCCCAACCAATGATTCTATCATTATTATCCAATTAAAATATAAAATTTAGACATTTAAAATGTCAACAGGGTTGTTAGACTATTTCACAGATTACAAATAAAAACCCAATTTTTGAAGAAAGAAAAAGTTATTTTCCATAATTTTAATTAAATAAAAACTGTGTCAGTTAGAAATTTTTATTTTTAAATAACAATTAGTTTTTTAATTTAATTTAGAAAAATATTTTAAAGAAAATAATAGTGAATCTTTATGTCAACACATTTTTTTTTTTTGATTATTTATTTAGATATGTCACATAACCACTAATATAAATTTAATTTAATGCACACAATTTATTGTTATATAATTTAAAACAGAAAATCAAAATGTATAATTATAAAATTTTCAAAAGTTTGAAAGTTCATTGAGCTAAGGCTTAAATTATATTAATATATATTTTATTTTGAAATTCTATGAAAAGTTTGAAACCTAGTACTCCTGAGACCAAAAATATATAACAACCAACATGTATAAATTATAATATAATACGATTGGGTTAGAATATTACTACCGATGAAGTTATCTCTAGACAATAATTCCAAGATTACATTTTACATTTTTTTACTCGATAATTTAATTTAATTAAACAAATAATAATAGTTGTACAGTGTATATATTTTGTTTCTATAATTATCTATATAGTTTTTGTTGCTAAATTAAATACGTTATAAGTTTTTTTTATTGTTATCCAGTTCTATATTTTTTTATCATCACTGTATAGCGTATTATTATGCAAAACAGGTCGTTTTACTTTTTACTATGGCATAGGAAGTAATTTGACATCAACATGATTGTTCATTTTTTTAACAGATACTCAGGCTTAACATCATAAAATATTTGTGTAAGATATGTGCAATAGTAAAATACCCAAGTTTCACATGATACATCATAAAATACTTATGTGATGTTATTTATATCAGTAATATGTACAGTAGGATTCGAAATTTTAATGAGAACTATTTTAACTTAATATATAAATATATATATTAAAATAGGATTTCGTGAAGATTTGAAATTATTAAAAAAATTTTACTGGTCCCTCAAAGTGTTTTTAGTATTTAGACCAAAAATACCCCAAAAATTAAAAATTAAAAAAATATTATTTTTTGTGCAGTTTTGCTGATATTTATAAATATTATATGTAGAAAAATTGTCATTTAAAAATATTTTCTATATCATGTATTTTAGCTTACACTTTAATTAGTTCATTGTAAGAGGAACTTCATTTAGGAACAATATTTAATTATTGCAAAGATTTAAAGTAACATCTATGTGTAGGGCCTCAATTATTATAATATAATATTTACAATAACATTTAACAATTAATTAAATTCGCCAGTTTCCGAGATTACGCTAGGGATTGCTACCTTCCTCATATTGTAAAAAACTCATTTATCTTTTTCAAATCACTACTTAATCATAATTCATTATAATACAACGATCCATGAAATATTTAACATATAAGTTAATCGTTCTAAATTCTTGTGTCGATAATAGATTGGCAATGTAAGTAATATATTTGGCCTAACATTAAAACAATTGTTACGTAGATCTATATAACATTGGAAAACATTAAAAAAATTATGGAAACGACAACTAACTTGCAAACAAGAAATAAATTGTTTTATACGTTTTCGAATATGCAAAAAAATAAAAAAATTCAGTTAATAATGTAAATTGATGTATATGTAAGCCAATTGCATATATTTCATTGAAAAAATCATAAAGTTAATAAAACTTTTATAACAAATCTTATTATATTTTTAATTAAAAGTGTATTACATTCATAAAATTGTAATCTAGTATGTGTAAAAGCATATTAAATTTTAATAGTTATATTCAATCTTAATATATTTTTTATTGATATCAGATATGAGTGTATTTTTAAGATTCATTGTTCATTAATAATCGTTTATTTAATATTACACAACCAGAAATTTGTTTTATAAAAATAATAGAACCTTAATGTATTAATAAAACAATACACAAATGTTATTGACAAAGTCGACAGATAAGGATTTTTAAATTAAGTCGTTTCGTGTTATAACAAAGTATAAATATGTTACCATATTTTAATTTTAACTAATAGTTAGTTATAAAATTACTTTTGTGTATTTTTAAGTTTTTGATTAAAAATCAGTAAAGTTCTCTCTTTGGTCATTGTGATAAAACAATTGTTTTTTGTGAGTTCCATCTTCAAATTTTACAGATTTATAGTAGTCAGAACTTCCTTTCTTCCAGCCCCTGGGAACAGTGTTGTAATTATTTAATGATAAATAGTCATTGTACGATAGTAATTTGTAATGAGAATTTTGTGATTTTTGATAGGATGTCGACTGCTCTTGATACTGCGGTGTTTGAAACATGGCTTCATCTATAAATGTATAAAATTTAATTCTATTTTTGTTTAAAAATTTTAAATAACAGTTTACATACATTTTTTAATAAAATAACATGCAGTTTATAAATCATGCAACGAATAAAAATATTACAATAATTAAAAGTAATACAAATATTTATGATTTTTTGTTTCGGCACATTTTTTCCAAAAAAATAATAAAACATAAGACTAGTTATCAAAAATAATAATATATCAAGCACATTTTTAGTTTTGAAAATGTTTATAACAAAAAACAAAACATTTGTAAACAAAAAAACTTTAAACACTGTTTATTCCGAGTATCTATCATATTATTTACATTATTGTATTTATTTTGCATTTAAATAATTAATATATTAAAATTATTTAACTATACATTACATATTTCAAAACCCAGATATGGTTTCAACTTATAGTAACTATTTGTAAAATAATTGGTGAAGGATAAAAGTAGTCTAAATTATTAAATCATGTAAATAATCCTAACCATCTATTTTTTTTATTTTATTATTATATAAAAAAAAACTTAATCATGCATAAAAGTTATGTTGTCAACAATTGACGTGTATTTTCAATATGCTTAAAATACAAGATTGTTGCATGCCTAAAATATAAACACACTTAATAGTAGATAAATCTTATATAAAAACAAGGTTTTGCATTTTGTTAATGAAAAAATGATTATGCATATAATCTTCTTGCCTTCTAGTTTACATGTCACTTTGTATTTATTCATATTACATTCATATTGATGATTCTCAATTAAATTTTGATTCTGGGCAAATAACATGCTAGATTCTAAACTGTCAGGTGTCGCCAACTGTCTGATGGTTTGAAATCTTAAATCATTTCTTAAATCAAAAGACATTGAAACACTATCTCCGAATTCTGATTTGTCCGTGTTTTCAGATTTATTAGTACAATCTTCTTTTTGCGTATAATCTAATTTTTCTTTATATGCAGTATCAATTTCTTTAGTATATTCAACATAATTACTACTATTCCCACAGTTTTCTTTACAACTTGAAAAATTTCTTAATTCAACTGATGTATTTGTTACATAATAGTCTTTTGTTACTTGATTTGAGTTATTTTGCAAAGTAACTGATTTTAAATGATCATCGTGTAAATGTTTAATTTCATCACTCAAAGGTATACTTTCTTCAGGTTGCAGATAACGCATAATAGGTTTATTATTATGTTCAAAGGTATCAATTAATGTTTTAACAGGGAGCGATCGTTCCTGAATAATTTCTTCTGATATATTTTTCTTGGCATTTTTCTTGAAATTATTTGATGAACAAAATGACAACTTCGTTTCTTCTTTATTTGACTCAGTATATATGTTAACATTTGGTACAAAATCCATGTATGTTTTGCTAACTTTAGGTACAAATACTTCATAATTTCCTTTTGGTTTTACACTACTTTCAATTTTTAATTCTACTGTATTTTTATCAGGTTTAATATCATTTATTGAGGATTCGATTACAAAATTATCTTCAAGTGTTGTGTTGACCATTTCATTTTTTTTTTCAACTCCTGGAGTTGACCTAGGTGTAAATTCAATTTTATGGAATTTAGGTTCAGAAAAGTAGTTTGTATTTAAAACTAATGGCTTGGGCACTGGAGTTAATGTTAAAGAATTATCTCTGTTTATAGTAAAAGTTGTACTTGCAAGATTTTGTGATATTTTAGGTGTCAAACCAGTAGTACTAATAGAAGATTTATTTAATAAAGTAACGGGGGAATTTGCTGAACCACGAAATATTTGATCCAACTTAACTGACCCTAGAATATTTTAAAATAAAAAAAAATAATAAAGTTACAATGGCGTAAACTTACCATATGTTGAAGGTTGCTGAAGATTACATTGAGTATTCCAACCTCTTGGAATTTTGGGTGTATAAACATCCTGACACTTAGGAGTATATATTCTTGTAGGAGTAGAACAAGTAGTTCTTGAAGTCCTCCCTCCTTCTTTTAAAGCTTCTAAAGCTCCTGATGTTGGAGCAACAACGTATCCTCTAGGAGAAAACATAGGTGGTACTTCTTGAAAAGCAGAATCAACACACCCCGTTTCTAAAGCAGCTTCCCATGGAGATTTGATAAGCCTTAAACGAGGTTTTGTAAACCTTTGCTAAACATTATATTTAAAAAAAATAGTAAATTTCTAATTGTATGGTATCTTAATAAAATTAATTCAAATATATTTAATCAAATACAATATATTATAAAGAATGATTGTTGAGCTTCCTATAATAAACTATTTTTAGGTCACCAAAAATTGTTTTTACTAATGTGAATAAAATTGATCATGTTTAGTAAAAGGTATAAATACTTTAAAATTATGTTTATTATTAGATTTTTTTTTAAGCTTTTTAGGCTCATAAAAGGTCATAACTACCTCCCCAAATAGGAGATTCTCTTAGCCATTACTCCAGGAAGGGTGGTTAGTTCGTCACCGGAGAGAAGGATGGCGACTCCAATTACCGAACTGTTTACTTGCTCGACAAATGAAGCCGCCCGTAACCGAGTTTCAAACCTGAGGCAATGCACGTCAAGAACTACCGCGTTACCGACTCAGCCACACCATCCTTGTGGTGTAATGATTAAAGTAAATGACTGAAGATGAGAAATAGATGTTGCTATATTTATTACTACACATTTAATGGCTTCACTTCTCCCTCTAGGTATAAATATGTGCTGAAGTATAATCCAAAAGTCGTTGCGACCATATCCTTAATTAGATGTTTTCTAATTTATAATCTAGTTAAATATTTATACTTCTATTTGAAAAAATAAAGTTAAAATGTCTATAAGATATAAGGGATGAGAATAAAAAATACTGTGTAAAACATAAATAGAGATACATGTGTAACTAACAAAAGCCAAAAAAACAAAATTCACAAAAAAGTTATTATTTTAAGAAAAATCGAGTGGCCAGATCGTTAAAATAGTTACTTTGTATACAGCGTGTCTCAGACTTAATTTACAATGTGTTGTCAATTAACACAAAAATTATCATTTTTTGTTTTAATAATTATTGTCTTTTTTTAGACTACATCTAAAGCATAATTTTGTATTTATCACTAACAATAAAATTATCTTTTTTATTCTTTTTTCAACTACTTGGGGTCGGTAATCTTTATCCTAAACTTCTACTTAACATGATCTTCCACATCATCTACGCACATATCACCCAATCTCATATTGCATTCAATAGCATCCCTCTATCTTTTTTTTTGTCTTCCTCTACCTCTTCTTCCTTTAACATTAATTTCTATAACTGTTCTTGCAGCTTCCAATTCCTCTCTCTTCATAAAATTACCAAACCATCTAAGTTTATTTTCTCTAATCTTACCCACAATTAACGCTATTTTAAATGATAAATTGTAATAATATTAATAATTTTAAGAATTTAAAAAGAGTGGAGACAATCTAATGTATTCTACTCTGTTCTTACTCATATATTTCATACTGTTCTCAACTTATTACTAATAAAAAAAATTAATTAATTTTTTTTTATTCAAAATGTTGAAATAGCCATTTTTTTTTTAAATTTTGAACGATAACAATTTTAAAACAAGTACTCACTAAGTTTCAATCAGTATTTGTTCTAATATTGTTAACGACTCATNGTAAAACAAGTACTCCCTAAGTTTCAATCAGTATTTGTTCTAATATTGTTAACGACTCATCAAATTTTTACTAAAAAAAATGGAGCCAAAAATGTATAAAATTTCATCAATTGAGAACGGCTGGGACGATTTGGCTCAAATTTTTTTTTTAATTATTCGTAATTGCCAGGAGGTTTTTACAAAAAAAAATTTGGAAAAACGATTTTTTTTTAATTTTTTATTTAATTTTTTTGATGATTGATTTTTTGAGTTCCGAAATGTTTTTTGAAACTGATTTTTGTTTCAATCCAAATAAATCAATAAATAAATTCTTGGACTATATGTTTTAGTATTGTTTTATGTTTTAAGTTTATCTGAAGGTGTTAAGTTCGCTGAGTCCATTTAATGTTTAAAAAAACTTTTTGGCAAAACAACGTTTGCCGGTTAGCTAGTTTTTACTAAAAAAAACTGTAAATGACGGTTTTGATTTTTTTTTTTTTTATATGACAAAATAAAATAAATTGTTTTTACTTATTAGTAACAAATAATGAGAAATATGTTTTAGTTGTAGTCTAAAAAGGCAATTTTTTAAAAAAAATTTTTAACAAAATGTCACAAAAATTATAAGCATTGTCAGATAAGTCTAAAACACACTGTATACTTTTCATATTTTGTTATATGATATATAATACTTGTATTTCATTCATTTTTTTAACATTTTCAACTCTGTTGATATCAAATTCATTATTAGAATTTGTACTATGATTCAGTTTATTTAAGATTGTCTCAGGTATTGATGATGAAGCAGATTTTACGTTCGTTTCATCTACTACCCAATTTTCAGATCTCTTGCGTCTTTTAGCAAACAATGCAGCCCCTAATGATTATGAAAAAGAAAATAAGAAAATTATTTAGCACCTGGATAGTAATTTACAAAAAGTATTTAATAATTTAATATAAATTTTAATTTTATTTGTACTTCATTTTAAGCTATATTACAATTTCATAAATTTACCTTTTCCTTTAGTGGCATTTAAATCTCTGACTAGATCAAAACATACTTCTGGGCTTAAGCAAGGTTCAATATTTTCACCAAGTTTTTGTAATGTTTGTAAATCTTGAACTTGACCACGGGGATCCATAACAAGCTTGAGTATTTGTTTAGAATCACTCTAGGTCCATGGAAAACTATTGTAATACTTAGTAAAGTTATATTATCCAAGGTTATTTACTTTTTCGGATGATTCATAATCCCGACTGTTCATAGAATGAGGGAAATTTGATGGAATAGGTCCTCTTCCTTCTCCTAGAGTTATATTTTCAAAGTAAAACATTATTATTATTGTTTATTTTTAACATATCCCATTAATTTACACATCCGAAACTCCATAAATGTTAAATAAATCGAATGAACAAACGAGAAAAATTCTCTTTAAACTTTAAATTATTATTTTTTATTTAGTATTAGACAATTTAGCGAATTTATTAAAATGAAAATGCTGATGAATTGATTAAATTTTTAAAGAAGTAAGAATTAAATTTATTTAAATAATTAGAGAAAGTAGCGTGACTGTTCTTATTATCTTACTCTCAAAGAATTGTAAAATATTGTTTGAATGTATTATTTTTCAAGAATTTAAGCAATCTTTAAATGCTCTCAAAACCATGTGTAAATAAAATGAATTCTAAATTAATTATATTATATATTATTTATGATTAATTTCACAAGTACAAAGCTGAAAGCCAATACGTGGACATTGTATGTGAACCATTTCTCCAACAGAGCCACTCGTGGTTTATAACTCGCTACGTTTGCGTAAGACGTTCCCTTTCTCATTGTTTTAACTTAAAAAACATCATAATATAAAAGGTTCCATGTAGAAAATGGTAAAAAAATAATTTTAATTATAAGCTAAATATTTGATAAAATAAAAATTAGATGTAAAAAATAAAATTGAATTGTAAATGAATTGTCTCTTCTTCTTTTTCCTCGCCTTTAGGCCAACTACTTGGGGTCGGTTATCTTTATCCTAAATTTCCACTTAACATGATTTTCCACATCATCTACGCACATATCACCCAATTTCATATTGCATTCAATAGCATCTCTCTATCTTTTTTTTTGTCTTCCTCTACCTCTTCTTCCTTTAACATTAATTTCTATAACTGTTCTTGCAGCTTCCAATTCCTCTCTCTTCATAAAATTACCAAACCATCTAAGTTTATTTTCTCTAATCTTACCCACAATTAACGCTATTTTAAATGATAAATTGTAATAATAATAATAATTTTAAGAATTTAAAAAAAGTGGAGGACATCTAATGTATTCTTCATAATTTCTCTCTGAGAGTATTTTATTTGTGTCTAAGTAAAAAATTCTATATAGATAATATAAAAGATATTTTTCTAAAATTTATCTAGATTCAGATTAGTACAATAAGTTCCATCTATATCTGATAAAAAATGAATTAAAAAAATAACTTTAGTTGAATGGATGAATTTTTTTTTTTTTTGATAATTAATTTTGATTTTTCTAAATTCTAGTCGAATGGCAAACATTAACTTTACATTTTTCTAACATCATTATAAAAATATTAATTTTAATATTACTGTAATAATTATCAAGATAAAAATTAATTTTGATTAACCTCTGATATTTTAAATATATTTGGATCATAGAAAAATAACATAGCTAAAATATAAGTTAATGTCGCAAATGTTCATTTCACCGAAAACAGATCAATAAAATTGTAATTTTATTATAATAATAAATATTAAAAACATATAGGATAGCGATAATTATTTTTTTTTTAGAGTGGTTCGAACACCAATAAAAGCCAAAGGCTTATTATGAATATTGCATAAGCAATTTATAAATTTAATTGCCTCTAAGTTATTATTTTTTGTTATAATTTATAATTATACTAAAAAATTATTTTTTTTTTTTTATTAAACGTAAGCAATTTTACACTATAATAGATTTCACTCAATACTTAATACAAATTCAAACCCTTTAATTAAAAAAATGTACCCAACTTCAACACCTGACAACCCACCACGAAGACTCAAACGTAAATGGAACCCAGAACTATTGACTTTACAAATTAACGGCAACAATAAAACCATAACTTATATACAGCTTCAACTAAAACTAATCGAGGTGTTACCAATGGGTGACTTCTTTATAACGCTATTAATGTTATGTAATTGAATGAGTCAACAAAAAAACTTATAGTAAATTTTATGTACAGATTGTTTTTTTTTAATAAAGAAAAAAAAAATTAAACGTAAAACTCACCTTCATGCACCCATTTTACCGATCGCTTTTTTCTGTTCACAAACATTGACTGCCCTTTACTTTTTTGGTTACTTATGTCACTCAATGAACTGGATATTCGGCGAGCTAATTGAAACTGTTGTTCAACAGTTGGATGATTTGGTCCATAAAAACTACTACTAGCATACATTTTTCCTAAAGTTACAAGAATTAAAATATGATTTATTAAGTTATATTTTAGCTATTATCATATACTTTTTTACTTATAGACCATCCCTTTCCCATATAAATCTCATTGTAATATCATGTTTAACAAATGTAATACACAATACATGTCTACTAGGGTGACCCTTAGCTACATGAGAGGTTTTTTTTTTTAATATTTGTAAGTGCCCTTCTAGAATTATTCGAATACATCAAAAAATAAATTGTACAAAATTTGGAGACGATTGGTCAACTCTAAGACGTGCCCCAAGGGGGTTAAAAATAACCCCCCAAGGGTGATTTTTTAGTTTTTTTTGTTGTATCTCAAAAACTTTAACTTTTGCAAAAAAGTTTATTTTGACTTTTTTGTAGGTATACAATTTTTCTATAAAAAATATATATACAAAAATTTTCGAGAAGATCTTATTTAGCCCTAAAAAAATAAAACGTATAAGTTGTATTCTTACCGTTAAAATTATTAATTTATAAATTGTTCATTGTAAAAACAAAAAAAAATTCATTTAACCGTTGTTTTAAATTTAATTTTCTATACATTTTTAATTCGACATTTTTTCTATGATTTACTATTCAAAACCTACAATTTTTTAATTTTAATTATATTAAAATTATACGGTTTTTCTTAGTATCTTCATAACTTAAAGAGCCATAAAATTTATGTTGTTTATAAGCTAATAAAAAAGTCATTTTCAAGATAAAGTTATTGATTATTATTTTTAAACACTTGATTGTTTTCTTTTATCTGGTATTCTTGAAAAGATGAGCCTACGTATATAACCAGCTAAAATTTCGCTTTCCAATATTGTATGTTATTTGGTAATTGAAAAGTTTAGATCATAATCGAATCAGCTGTCGTTCGTTGTTCATGAATTTCATATTCAACAATTTTCTTATATTTTATACTTACGTTTCTAATTATACAACTTAAAAAAACTTTAAATTTAAATATTTTTTTTTAAAAAATGGCTTCAACATCTAAAATGAACCTTCGTGATACAAATAAAATTTATTTAATTGGTTATATGTGAAATCAAATCGTCGGCAGTAAGTTGCCATCAAATAAACAAGTACTATGTGTTTTTTTTTTATAACATGCGCGTGGTTAATTTAAATGTTCACGATAGTATTTCATTAGTATACAATGAAATCGAAATATTTTGGCAAAAAGTCAGAATACCTATTAAAAAAAATGTCACTCCGTTAAAAAAATTGAATCATTATACAATGAATGGAGAAAATTACAAAAACATGCGACTAGAAAGTTATTATCAGACACAATAAATGAAGAGGACTTTGTTAATAATCTTGATGACTTATTTGATATCGCTCATTCTGACGCTTTAAACTTAATTAAAATTGAAGTTGATAAACAATTTTTATTGGCTCAAAGGGAAAAAAGAAGGTCAGGCTGTATGGTAGGTGTTGATAAATTCATTGAATAATGTGAAATGAATCAACAAAATAAAAATTTAAATATAATCCAAAGAAAAAGAAAAGCATACGATGAAATGGAAGTTTTAGGTAATTAAAAAAATATCTTAAAATATTTCCAAAGTAGTAAGTCTACGTGTTTATTATTATAGATCATGTCCTTAACTCAGAAATGTTATATTCATCTTCAAACAGTTCTAGTGAGTGTGATGAGACCGAAGAATTAATTGAAAAACCTAATCTTCCTCAATTTAGAGGTAAAAAAAATATTTTAGCCGACAAACTTGTTGCTGCATTTGATAAGTGTAAAATAAGCGACAGAGACTCTGTTCATATATTAATAGCAACCGCGGAATCGTTCGGTCTCGATACATCTGAATTAATTATAAATATGACCTCAATTAATAATTTTCGAAAAGGTTTTCGTAAAAACCGAATGAAAAAAATAAGCAGTAATTTTAATTTATCGGCAGTAGGTCCATGCACCATTCATTGGGATGGAAAACTTCCTTTATTATCAGGACATCAACTAGTTGAAAGATTACCAATAATTGTGTCAAATAATAATATAGAACAATTGCTCGATGTGCCTGAAATTTCTTCTGGTTTTGGACAAAGTCAAGCAGCAGCTGTCTACGCAGCACTTGAAAAATGGGGTTTAACTGACAAAGTTAAATCATTATGCTGTGACACTACTGCTTCTAATATAGGTAGACTTAAAGATACCTGCATATTAATGGAGCAAATGTTAGGGCGTGATATTTTATACTTACCATGCAGACATCACATTTATGAAATTATATTGAAAAGTGTTTTTGAAGTAAAATTTAATACGTCATTTGGACCAAATGTTCCTATTTTCAATAAATTCCAAAAGTCTTGGCAAAATATAAATAAAACAAATACTTAAGTGGAATAGAAGATACTGTTATTTTAGAAAAATTAAAAACAAAAAAAGACGATATTTTGAAATTTAGTTTTGAACAATTACAAAAATACCAACCTCGAGGACTATAAGGAACTTTTAGAATTGGTCATAATATTTTTTGGTGAAACACCTTTGAATGGAATTTATTTTAAAATTCCTAGCCCAATCCATCATGCTCGTTGGATGGCCAAGGCCATTTATTGTTTGAAATTTTTTTTTTCGGGTCCAATTTGAATTGTCAATCAAAGAGTTAAATAATATTCGTTCATTATGTATTTTTATTACAAGTTTATATATTAAACAATGGTTTAGTGCACCAAATGCTGCATTAGCGCCAAATTTAGATTTACAATTTATTAATAATATAATTGATTATGAACCAACAGATAAAGATATTTCTAAAGTAGTTTTTAAAAAACTTTCCGGTCATTTATGGTACTTAGTATCCGAAACGGCAGCAATGTCATTTTTTGATGATTTATGTGAAGATACTAAAATTAAAATGGTAAATTCATTAAATAATCGGGAAGAAGATCCATGTACAATCAAACGTATAGTAGTAAGAGTAAATGAAATTTATGATTTCAAAAATAAAAGAATAGATGATTTTATTTCAACTGAGTCAAAAAAGTTGTTTGAAAGATATGACATTGAAACTGATTTTTTAAATATCAAACCTTTGTTGTGGAAAGACAACAGTCAATATATCAGAGGAAATGTAATAGTAAATAATTTAAAATTATAAATGATTTGGCAGAGAGGGGCGTGAAACTCATAGAAGAGTATAATAGTATTTTAACAAAAGACGAAGCACAAAAACAATACTTATTGCTTATTATTACAGAATACCGGCGATGTATTCCTAATTGCAATAAAAGCACATTATGCCAAGAATTTTAAAAAAGCTAAATTTTTTAAAATATGCAGTAATTTTTTTTAGTACGTTTTATTTTGTAAATAGTTTCTGATTGTATATAAATTTGTAAGTTAACATTATATTAGCTTCAATGTGAAGCTGAGACGGTATTAATTTTACTCTGAAGTGTTTTTTTTTAATTAAAATTAAAAAATTGTAGGTTTTGAATAGTAAATAATAGAAAAAATGTCATTTAACTATGGTAACCATTTGCACATAGAAGATAAGTTGTAGGAACAATTTTTATGTTTTTTAGCTTAAAGTACATAACAACTTTTATTTTATCTTATGTTTGAAGCTTAGAATATTTCCGGAACATTTTCAAACTCACGTTGAAAAAGTTAAATTTTTGTGCAAAAATTTCTATTTTAAATCCCGTCTGTGGGAAGGTAAAGGAATAGGTTATCAAAAAAATGATATTAAATGAAAAAAAAATACCTAAGATCTCTATATAAAAAAAAAATATTTTGATGTGTTCATTTTTCAAAAAATTACGGCAGTTTTAAGAAAAAATATTAAAAAATGTCAAAATTTACCGATTTTAAAAATTATAATTTATTTAGGTATTTTGTCCATTTATAAGGAACCTGGCAAATGTTTTCAATTTTTAAGGGCAAGATCTTTAACTAGATACAATTTATGATCTTTTGACGTATTGTTGAAAAAAATCGGTTCGGTGAAAAATTACGAGACATAAAAAAAAATATATATAGTAAAATTTATACCTTCTCAGCTTCACATCGAAGCTAAAAAGTAAGTAAAATATTCACTGGATCAAAAGTTATTAAAGATGTGAAATATAAAATGTAAATGTAAGCTAAGTAGGTCAAAAGAAGGTATACAAAAATAAAATTCCTTTTTTTTTTTGCTCTAGTAGATAATAATTGTGGGGGGGTTGGCAAAGGGAGAGTCTTTGATAATATTGTATAAATGCATATAACGTAACCGCCCTATGGGTGATAATATGACGTAGCATCTGTAATGTTGCGGTTTAAGGGGACAAACGTTGTTGTACGTGTCACACAAACGATAGACATTAATTAATCATTTAATTAGACTTTTACAAAAAAATGATTATAACATACTTTTGTAGTAAGTTGGGGAATTAGAAGGAGTAAATGAATATCGTTACATAAACTTCACAAAATTATAAATATACATTTAATAAGTAAAATAATAAAAATAATCTAAACTTTTTACTGGTTATGGATCTTTACTTAAGATTTTTAAAATGCTAAATAATTAGACTAAACGCTAATTTTACTATTCAATATATTTTTTTAAATAAATCAGTATTTTAATTGTCGTTTATTAATTAGCACACTTAAAAAATTTTAATTAAATAAAACTTACTACTTTTTGATGGTGTTACTTCTCCAGAATCTGTAGCTGGCTTAAATATTTTTTCCAGGTCAACTTGTTTATGAACTAAACCATCATCATCATTAACATTAATGTCACTTGATTCCTGTAAATAATTTTTCAGATAATTATTTCTGTTTTGTTTTTTTTCATTTCTTATGCCGTAATTATTGACAACAATAATTGAAAAGTGCAAGAGAATAACGGTAGCACATCATTTCAATAAATGTTTCAGAAGAGCTAAAATAAAGTTACAAATGTCTATCCCTTTAACAATAAAACAAAAACTGACCCTTAAATATAATCAAAATGAAAAAATTTTTCACCGAACTTCCAGTTGAAATCACATTTAATGGGCTATTAAATTAAAAATATCAAATTAAAAAAAAATCAAATCAGAATGTAAACTTACTTAACTTGAAAAAAAATATGAATTATTTAATACAAAATATAATTTTTAATTAATTTAGACAATGTTCAAAAAATGTAATGCTTTCCTCACAAAGGCAAATACACCAGCATAAATCGGTAAACTTTTTCATTTTAATATGTTAAATATATAGTGTATATAATTTGCTTAGTACAATATATTGAATACTATTCACTTCTACTATTTTGAAAGTTCATACTGTACAAGTATTTTATACTTAATTTCATTTAATTAGCAAAATAATATTATGAAAAAAAATTTAACACTATATTTGAAATATATGTAAATTGTAGTCTTTAAATAAAATTTAGAAGTATTTAAGTTTAATACGGGACGCAAACAAGTAGTCTAAGAAGACTTATTCTTAACTCATTACTCAACTTATTACTCATTCTTTAAAAATATTACTTTTTATATTTTTACTATACTTTTTTAATGTAAACATATCTAATTTTTTATATCAAAAGTGACTGCACTCGTTCTATAATGATCTAGATTATTAATGTATTATAGTGTAATTGAGTTTGTTTGTGCCTGTATAGTGGTTAGATTGTAACAAGTAAAGTATTTTTTGTGTAAGTAAAATAAAGTTAAAAAGTTAATAAAAGTCTTATTATCGTTTAAAATGTTTAGTGTCTCTTGTATTTTGCTTCTCAAAGTCTAAGTGAACTCTTGTAGTAAGTATTTAAAAGATTTATTAGCAAATGGAGTAATCTTCATTTTTTTATTGTTTATTTATTACAATATCAACATCAACTTCAATTTCTGTAATAACTGCTTGATTTATTTTAATTAGCCACACAATTTCTCTATAAGTATATTAAGAAAATTATTTTTATTTATTTATTCAATTATTAAATATTTTTTTTAATTCATCCCTTTTATCTTAAAAGGGTAAAAACTTTACTTGTATTAATGAAAACATACTTGTAAACTAGCTTATAACATAAAAAATGATCTGATTAAAAAAATTACTGGTCTATAATAATTTTTAAACTAGTATTACATAAGTTATTAATATTTTTTAATATAGTGGTCGATAAGCACACCAGAGTAATGAGTAGTGATAAAAATAACATAATCTACACCTCACTACCACTCTATATTTTGAAATAATTGAAAGATATTATTTTAAAATAATATCTTTCAAAATAATGGATCATAAGTTATTATTGGCTAGCCATAAAATGGCTAATTAATTATTAAACAATTAATTGTGATCTAATTAAGAAAATTAATAAGATAAAGTAATTAAATATGTACATTATCTTAAAGAAACATAACATTGAAACCCTTTTAAAGTATAAATAAAAAAATATATGAAACTAAAAAATACCAAAAATAATTTTCTTAGCATAATTAATATTTTAAAGGAAGTATGGTTTATATTAAAAGAATCGACTAGAGCAATTTTTATTCCTATTTTTAAAGTTTTGAACTCAACCCTCTGTATACAGGCGATATTTTTATAATAACCCACAATTACTTGAAGAATAAATATAATTTAAACATTATTTTTTTTTGGTTATCTTTAGTTACACATTATTCTTGATTTATTAACTATGTAATACTTTTTATGTTCATCCCTTATGCTGTGTAAGGGTGTCAACTTTGTTTTTTTAAATAGGAACACATTTTGAATTTAATAAAATGTTTGAGTTTTTAATTTAATAGTAAATGGCATTTGAATTTTTAATATAACTTTATTTGTTTATTAGATATAAACATTTAAAGTTTCAAATTTTTGAGTTAATATACATGTATAATGGAATTACACGTACAGGTAACTAATTGGTTGTTAATGAAATCGATATTCGCAGGTACACAGGATTTATTATTAATGATAGTGCCTTACTATATTATTGTGAGTTTATAAATACACTAACTGGCACTAACTATATGTACTATCAATAGATTCTATTGATAGTCATGATTGACAATAAATAATCTTTGACTGTGACAATGACGTCATAAAATATACCAGTGATAAGTATAATATGAAATATAAATATCTTTCAATAATATCTTATCATTGACAAATTGAAAACTTATTGGTATCATGTTGTCATGGTTCCCATGGTTCAGAACTTATTATAGAAGGTTTTATATAAATATTATTTTATTATAAATAACGAAGAAAAAATGTAATGCAATTTATCTAACTCTTTCACTCTTGTAAAAATGTCTGAATTTTCACATACATGTATTGAAAGTTTTTTATGCATACGGAAAAATGTTGATAAATAAATATAGAAAATTATATTTGTGTATGAATTTTCGATACTCCAATTGTATGTCCAATTTGCACAAATTGTGTGTAAAATTAACATTTATATTAAAAATATCATATGGACGTATGAAATATTTTGAATCATTTCTTACAAAGTAGTCAAAGAGATCTTCATTCTATTGAAACAAATGAAAAAAAAAAATTACTACACATTATTGTAGAATTTTTAAAAATATTTTTCTCTTAACAAATTTAATATTTTCTGAGATAATAAGTGTCTTAGATGAAAAATGACTAATGATAGAACAATAACAATATCTTATTTTAACTACAATTTGAAACTGTTAATAACTTCTGAAATATTGGTTCTAATGTTTTAACCGACCACATTATTTATGTATTCATTATTACATATATTTAAATAACTGCTATCTAAATAAAAATATAATTAAAATATTATACTAATGAACTATTAGTTACCAAGTAGCGTAAGCATGATATAGTATTATATGGGCAGTTGTCCAAAATATTATTTAATTATAGAACCGATAAATGTGCATTATTTAAGTGATGTGTACTAACACATGGCTAAATGAAATGCGGGTAGAATGAGCATACGTTTGGCAGTCATACACGTTCTATCATTATAAAAATAATTGTATAACATCATGAGAGTCATGATTTCAAGTTATCAGTTATTTATTTAAAATTCCAAATTTATTAACACAAAATTGTACATAGGTACCAAAATCGCCCGACAGCTACTGAATAATTCTCAAAGTAGGGACATACAAACATTAAAACTTATTTATTTAGATTAATTTTTTAATTGCTACTATCAATTTTAAAAATGTATAAATAGATTGCAAGGAACTCTATGTCTTTTAATTATTAACTTCTACCTACAATAATTTAATCACAAACAAAATTTCACATATTATTTAATTCAGATTAAAATTAAAGAATTAACTAAAACAATAATAAGTACATGAAAAGGCTAAAAACTTTAAACTTTAAAACTTAAGTAAATTTTTACCATCTTTTTTTGTTAAAAGTAATTTCAATGATTATAGTAATTTTTATTAGTTACTATAAAGAAATAGTCTATTTAGTTGGAAATTTCAATTCGTATTTTATATCTTCTATAATTTTTAAATTGAATATATTTAAAAATTGTTAAGTATGTTCAGTAAAATCTGCTCGGGTTAGATTTATAAGATTAATAACTATTAAAACACCAATTTTTGAAAACCTAAAATTAAAATTATGACAAACTAAAAATAGAAGAATTCTAGTGGTTTTTTATAGTAAATTTTTTTACTGTTTAATAATTACTGAATCACATTTTATAAAATTTAATTTTCTTATAAAAAAATTTCTAAAACTATTCCTTTAAACATACGTATTTTAAGCACTTATTAAATTAAATGTATTTGTGGAAAACAATATTATTTTTAAATCAAATGACAATTACTAAGTTTGAACTGAAAACATGTACCTGCATGTTATGTCTTAAAATAAATTCATCTCCTGTAATTACAATCTTGGGTATAGATTTTCGATCCAAACTGCCATACCAACCAGCTGTTTTCCATTTTGATGACATTTTTTTACGCGTAAACTTACTTCAGCCCGCCGAAACCAACTAATTCACCCAAATAATATTTACTATTAGCTGATTTCTGTTTATCCCTTCCTATTTTTTACCGCTATGAATTTAGACTAACACAATTTTTTGCGTTACTTTATTATCAAAAATCATATGTTTATACACATAAGTTAGCCTGGCCGACATACTTAATAAAATATTACGACAAAACGACTTTTTTTGGCAAAAAACCAGATAAATAAGCGTAGGTAGTTGAGGTCAGCGTATAAAGTGGTCAAAGTTCGTTTGAATGGTTAATTGTTGTGTTAAAAAATAAAACAAAACGAATTACTATAAATAAAGAAAGCTAGTACAGTGACCTGGTAGATTGAACATCAGTGTACTTTGAAATCGAGAGTAGTTATTAATTATAATTATTAGAATTAATTATAAGAATAGTTATTCTTATATTGATTGTTAATATTTTATTAATCATATTTATATTATGGCACGACTACTGGGGATTGACAATCGAAAATGTACCAGAAATCATAAAAAAATGAGTTACAATATGATTAAAACTAGCAACTAAAAGCATCATAAAGAAAAACCTAACCACTAGGCCACCACGCACTTGTGATTCAGATACACTCCCATATAAGTTAAAAACGTGATTTGCAGATGAGGGAAAACAGTAGCGTGTCAGTTATATCAGACTTTAATTTATGATTAAATGTCCAGTCTATTTATATTAACACGTTAATTTTTGTTATTCTTTAGTTATTTGGGTATTATTCTTTAATAAATAATTAATTAATTAATATTACTATCACAAAACGATTTGATATTAATGTGCAT